TTTTTTTTTTTTTTTTTTTTAAGTGCAACCTACCTAAAATTAGCCCTAAAGTTTAAAAATGCTGAAAAATGGTACAAAGTTACCCCATGTTACGGTAGTTATATCAATTGGATTCAGTTTTTTTATTTTTTCTCTATCTTATACAGAGTGCACTTTGGAACTGTGTTTTATAGTGAATTAGTACCACCACAATTAACAGGTCAGGAAACCAGAGAAGAATTGATCGCATTACAATTATCGAGTCGACTGATAAACGAATTTTATGAACAAAACTCTGAGATTAACAAGGAATTGTGGCGAGTTTTTGAAGTACGATGCATACTAAAATTAATAAGCAAGGCAATGTATGCAAAGAATAAGAACCCACCCACTGCTCATTAGAAGAACAGTTTGAGAGGTATATATATTTTAGTTTTTTTTTTAACGTGTCAAAACAAAGGAGGATAACTTGACAAAAGTAGACAGAAATATGGACGAAATTACAGAAAATTTAAAACCTTGTGTCTTCGCCATATCGGAGAGCCCTTCTACATCCGATGATGACTTGGAATTTCTTTCACAATTTATTTTGTAAATAATAATAATTCGTAAATATTTTTTATAATTTATAATCAAAGAGTTGTTATCCTTATAATATCGATGTTCAAAAAATTTTTCCCATTTCTAATTAATGCTAAATGTCGTGTAACATATAATAATAATAATAATAATAATAGTCATTAGATTATTCAGTTAAACACTCATACAAGAATAACCAGTGTTGATTATTGTAGCTGTAATAGATGGCTGATTACACAATTTTAAATTTGTTCTTAAAAGTTAAGATTTGAACTAATAAAAAAAAAAAAAAAACATAAATGATTAAGATAACAAGAAAGCCATCATTCTTATCATATATTTACAAGGCAATTACATATCACTTGTCTTAATCTGATTATTATTTTTTTTTTTTACACATCAAAATGAACTACAATAGATAGTCTTGAAGTTATAAGGCATAACGATGTATTTATTTTTAAAATGGAAGCGCATCTGAAATTGTAAGTATTACAATAACTTCTATTTTTACATTAAATTGCATATAATACTCCTTCAATTTTATTTATAGACTTTTATGGGTATTTATTATAAGTGGAAAAATAATATATTTTGTATTTGCACATCATATCTAAGATTATTCTAGAAATTATTATTATTTACGTTTCTTATTTATATATTTGTCTAGCGTCTTATGTGAATTACTACAAGGAGTATTTAAATAAAATAGTTTAAAAAATAACAGATTATCGTAAAAGACAAATCACGAATAATTTACTTTTAATTTAATTGTATGTTTTTATTTACTATACCTATTTTATTTTACTATAGTATAAATAATTTTGATATTTGAATTATAATTAATAAAGCATAAAATACGAATCAAGCTAAATTATTGCATAACAGTTTTTATAGTTTTAATTTAAAAGAAATTTTATAAACTTATAATTATTTTATTTTGTTTTTATTATAAAAATTGTGATAAAGCTACATATAAACGTAATTTATTTTGTTTTTATTTTAAAAATATCTAAGTATTAAAACTTACCTAGTATTATTGTTATTACTATAAAATATGGAAAGAAAATTGAAATTTAATATTCACATTTTACTAGTATTTACAAAGGAAGTGCCACGAGTCTGAAATTGGGTCTCTCCTAGAAATAACAAAATAATCCAAAGATACTTTCAATTTAAAGCTGCTTAAGAGCTATACAAAGTTTTAAGAATTTTTAATGAAATTTAAATACCTCGGAAATTTGTTCATGTTTATGTGAAATATCGTTAAATTTTGGTGAAATCTGAAATTTATAATTGAGTCTTATGACAGTCAGATGTTTGTACTTTAAAAATATATATATATATATATTTGTTTATAGTTTAAATTAATATAATAGTTTTTATTTAACTATATAACCTTAATAATACATCAACAGTCATACAGAAATAATTTGATTTAATTTTTGTCTCAAAAAATTATCATTTAATCATTTATAAAATGAAGTTGGTATTTTTCTTGAAAATATTCTATAGCTCTGTTAAAATATGCATAATACGATCTACCGTAAAATGGGGTAACTTTGTCTCCGGGTGATAACTTTGGCCCACCGTTGGAATTTTGAATACTTCTGTGTGTTGTGATAAGACATGTGACTATTATCAATGTGTTGTAGTGGTTTTCGATAGTATACAACACTGGTAACCGAATGTGATAACAGTTTTTATCGTTATCACTCGTGTTGCTATCAAAAAAAATTTGTTTGTATTCACGTGTTTTCAAAGGAAAAAAACCACTTCTCAAAACTTTTGTTTGATTTGAAGTCAAAGAATCGTCTTTTTTTTCGGTAAGTCTGATATTATCTCATACATATAGTACTAATAAAGAATAAATCTTAAAATTTAAAAAAAAACCAAATGTGTTTTTGTAAACTTACATTTTGTAGCTTGGGGTAACTTTGTCCCGCTATTATTTGATAGTGATAGCTAAAATATGATTTTTTTTTTTACATTTTTTGTCATGTTTATGGTATAATTAGTCATTTTAGGCACTTAAGTTATACCTGCCTACTTAGTTTATATAGTGTCTCATCTGTCTTGTCTATTTTGCTTAACAGTAAACGATGCCGCGTAATCCAAAAAGATCGCTAGGTACGAGGGCGTACGCAAACTATACGCCGGCAACGTTACAGGCATGTCTAAGAGCTATAAAGTCCAAACAAATGACACAACGTAAAGCTTCCGAACACTACAAGATACCTAGGTCAACCATAAAGAATAAACTAAAAGCATTGCACAGTAATAGTGTTGGGCATCCCACAGCATTTACTCCCGCCGTGGAAGCTAGCTTCGCACAGCATTGCATGAAACTTGCCGATTTTGGTTTCCCATTAATCCCTTCGGACCTTAAGATGTGTGTAACTCGTTATTTAGATTGTAAGGGAGTTCGAGTTTCTCAATTTACTAACAATATTCCGGGTGATGACTGGATTCGCGGGTTCTTAAAAAGAAATAAAGATTTATCGTTGAAAGTCAGTGCAAATATTAAAAAAAAGTCGTGCGAACATCACAACTGACGATATAAATGATTACATGGACCGTCTTGAACAAACCATAGCTGGTATTCCGCCCTCACGTATATATAACTATGACGAAACAAACCTCACAGACGATCCGGGAACAAAAAAAGTGATAAGTAAAAGAGGCTCTAAATACGTGGAGCGAATTTGCAATTCAAGCAAAAGTGCGATTTCACTTATGTTTTGTGGAAATGCTGAGGGGCATGTTTTACCGGTTTACGTTGTCTATAAAGCAGAATCGTTATGGACCACATGGACTGAGGGGGGTCCTCCCAACACAAGATATAATCGCAGTAAAAGTGGTTGGTTTGATTCCCATATTTTTGAAAATTGGTTTGTAACAACTTTTTTGAAAGAAGTACAGGGCGGAGGACCTAGTGCCTTAATTGGCGATAATTTAGCGTCACACATAAACGAACATGTGTTAGAATTATGTGATACTCATGACATTAAGTTTATATGTTTGCCACCAAACACCACGCATATATCTCAGCCACTCGACGTAGCCTTTTTTTAGGCCAATGAAGGGGGCTTGGAGAGACATTTTGAGGCAGTGGAAAAACACGAAAAGTGGTAGTTGTTATACAACTCTCCCGAAAAATTTATTCCCCCGACTACTGACACAGTTAATGGACAAAATTGAGTTCAAGAAAGCAGAAAATTTAAAAGCTGGTTTCAAAAAAACTGGTATACACCCAGTGAACAGAGAAAAACTAATAGAACGGTTGGCTGAACATAAAAGTGATATGCTCGATAATGATTTAATTGGTAAAGCATTTCTGGATCAAATTCAAAATGAACGGCAAGATTTTATTGGATTAGCTGGTAAACCAAGGAAAAAGAAGTTGCAAGTGTCCCCGGGCGATAGTATATCAATTGAAGATCTAAGAAAATCACGCGATAACCCGGGACCTTCAACTTCAAAACCTACACGAAATCAGAAAAAAAGTCAAGTTCTGTCATCTTCATCAAGTGAGTCAGATGATATGGATTTTGATTTGGCAAGTGACAGCGATAATCTTGACGACGGCAGTGACAGCGAAGATGTAGATAACTTAGTTGAACCCGACGATGTTAACGAAAATGTTAGTGAAGATGTAAACAACCTCGAAGAACCGGAACAAAATTATAAGGTTGGTGATTTTGTTCTGGTCAAATTTCTAGAAAAACAGTTTCCCGGTCGTATCACAAAAATGTCCAATGAAGGCCCAACTGTGGACTGTATGGAGAAGCTTTCAAAGCAGTGGAGGTGGCCCGCGAAGAAAGACTGCATTGACTATGAGTGGCGCGACGTCATAGCAAAAATAAATCCGCCGCTTTTGCGCAAACGCAATTTTTTTATTGTACCAGAATTAAATGACTATGTGTAATATGTTATATTATTTAACTTCTGTAATTAAAACATACATTTAGTATTTTTTTTTTATTATTTAATACACATATATGTATTTAAGGCGTAATAAAAAAATTAATTTCCTTAAACTGGCTGTTTTATTCGTTATTTTCGCTTGTTTTACCCCCAAAATTGGTTTAATTGCTTTCTAGAAACTTGCTAATTAATTTGACATAGCCTAACTTTGGCCCAAAGAAGCAGGAAGGGCAGATATATAAAGATATTGGAGGTGAGTTAAAGTTACCCCATTGCCGGGTAACATTGGCCCAAATTTTTGAATAGATTTTTTAAAGTTAAAAAACGAAAAACATTAAAATTAGATATCACAGAAGGCATGTCTAAGCACACACAATTATGTACGTATTTTTTTTTTTTTTTTTTTTTAAGTGCAACCTACCTAAAATTAGCCCTAAAGTTTAAAAATGCTGAAAAATGGTACAAAGTTACCCCATGTTACGGTAGTTATATCAATTGGATTCAGTTTTTTTATTTTTTCTCTATCTTATACAGAGTGCACTTTGGAACTGTGTTTTATAGTGAATTAGTACCACCACAATTAACAGGTCAGGAAACCAGAGAAGAATTGATCGCATTACAATTATCGAGTCGACTGATAAACGAATTTTATGAACAAAACTCTGAGATTAACAAGGAATTGTGGCGAGTTTTTGAAGTACGATGCATACTAAAATTAATAAGCAAGGCAATGTATGCAAAGAATAAGAACCCACCCACTGCTCATTAGAAGAACAGTTTGAGAGGTATATATATTTTAGTTTTTTTTTTAACGTGTCAAAACAAAGGAGGATAACTTGACAAAAGTAGACAGAAATATGGACGAAATTACAGAAAATTTAAAACCTTGTGTCTTCGCCATATCGGAGAGCCCTTCTACATCCGATGATGACTTGGAATTTCTTTCACAATTTATTTTGTAAATAATAATAATTCGTAAATATTTTTTATAATTTATAATCAAAGAGTTGTTATCCTTATAATATCGATGTTCAAAAAATTTTTCCCATTTCTAATTAATGCTAAATGTCGTGTAACATATAATAATAATAATAATAATAATAGTCATTAGATTATTCAGTTAAACACTCATACAAGAATAACCAGTGTTGATTATTGTAGCTGTAATAGATGGCTGATTACACAATTTTAAATTTGTTCTTAAAAGTTAAGATTTGAACTAATAAAAAAAAAAAAAAAACATAAATGATTAAGATAACAAGAAAGCCATCATTCTTATCATATATTTACAAGGCAATTACATATCACTTGTCTTAATCTGATTATTATTTTTTTTTTTTACACATCAAAATGAACTACAATAGATAGTCTTGAAGTTATAAGGCATAACGATGTATTTATTTTTAAAATGGAAGCGCATCTGAAATTGTAAGTATTACAATAACTTCTATTTTTACATTAAATTGCATATAATACTCCTTCAATTTTATTTATAGACTTTTATGGGTATTTATTATAAGTGGAAAAATAATATATTTTGTATTTGCACATCATATCTAAGATTATTCTAGAAATTATTATTATTTACGTTTCTTATTTATATATTTGTCTAGCGTCTTATGTGAATTACTACAAGGAGTATTTAAATAAAATAGTTTAAAAAATAACAGATTATCGTAAAAGACAAATCACGAATAATTTACTTTTAATTTAATTGTATGTTTTTATTTACTATACCTATTTTATTTTACTATAGTATAAATAATTTTGATATTTGAATTATAATTAATAAAGCATAAAATACGAATCAAGCTAAATTATTGCATAACAGTTTTTATAGTTTTAATTTAAAAGAAATTTTATAAACTTATAATTATTTTATTTTGTTTTTATTATAAAAATTGTGATAAAGCTACATATAAACGTAATTTATTTTGTTTTTATTTTAAAAATATCTAAGTATTAAAACTTACCTAGTATTATTGTTATTACTATAAAATATGGAAAGAAAATTGAAATTTAATATTCACATTTTACTAGTATTTACAAAGGAAGTGCCACGAGTCTGAAATTGGGTCTCTCCTAGAAATAACAAAATAATCCAAAGATACTTTCAATTTAAAGCTGCTTAAGAGCTATACAAAGTTTTAAGAATTTTTAATGAAATTTAAATACCTCGGAAATTTGTTCATGTTTATGTGAAATATCGTTAAATTTTGGTGAAATCTGAAATTTATAATTGAGTCTTATGACAGTCAGATGTTTGTACTTTAAAAATATATATATATATATATTTGTTTATAGTTTAAATTAATATAATAGTTTTTATTTAACTATATAACCTTAATAATACATCAACAGTCATACAGAAATAATTTGATTTAATTTTTGTCTCAAAAAATTATCATTTAATCATTTATAAAATGAAGTTGGTATTTTTCTTGAAAATATTCTATAGCTCTGTTAAAATATGCATAATACGATCTACCGTAAAATGGGGTAACTTTGTCTCCGGGTGATAACTTTGGCCCACCGTTGGAATTTTGAATACTTCTGTGTGTTGTGATAAGACATGTGACTATTATCAATGTGTTGTAGTGGTTTTCGATAGTATACAACACTGGTAACCGAATGTGATAACAGTTTTTATCGTTATCACTCGTGTTGCTATCAAAAAAAATTTGTTTGTATTCACGTGTTTTCAAAGGAAAAAAACCACTTCTCAAAACTTTTGTTTGATTTGAAGTCAAAGAATCGTCTTTTTTTTCGGTAAGTCTGATATTATCTCATACATATAGTACTAATAAAGAATAAATCTTAAAATTTAAAAAAAAACCAAATGTGTTTTTGTAAACTTACATTTTGTAGCTTGGGGTAACTTTGTCCCGCTATTATTTGATAGTGATAGCTAAAATATGATTTTTTTTTTTACATTTTTTGTCATGTTTATGGTATAATTAGTCATTTTAGGCACTTAAGTTATACCTGCCTACTTAGTTTATATAGTGTCTCATCTGTCTTGTCTATTTTGCTTAACAGTAAACGATGCCGCGTAATCCAAAAAGATCGCTAGGTACGAGGGCGTACGCAAACTATACGCCGGCAACGTTACAGGCATGTCTAAGAGCTATAAAGTCCAAACAAATGACACAACGTAAAGCTTCCGAACACTACAAGATACCTAGGTCAACCATAAAGAATAAACTAAAAGCATTGCACAGTAATAGTGTTGGGCATCCCACAGCATTTACTCCCGCCGTGGAAGCTAGCTTCGCACAGCATTGCATGAAACTTGCCGATTTTGGTTTCCCATTAATCCCTTCGGACCTTAAGATGTGTGTAACTCGTTATTTAGATTGTAAGGGAGTTCGAGTTTCTCAATTTACTAACAATATTCCGGGTGATGACTGGATTCGCGGGTTCTTAAAAAGAAATAAAGATTTATCGTTGAAAGTCAGTGCAAATATTAAAAAAAAGTCGTGCGAACATCACAACTGACGATATAAATGATTACATGGACCGTCTTGAACAAACCATAGCTGGTATTCCGCCCTCACGTATATATAACTATGACGAAACAAACCTCACAGACGATCCGGGAACAAAAAAAGTGATAAGTAAAAGAGGCTCTAAATACGTGGAGCGAATTTGCAATTCAAGCAAAAGTGCGATTTCACTTATGTTTTGTGGAAATGCTGAGGGGCATGTTTTACCGGTTTACGTTGTCTATAAAGCAGAATCGTTATGGACCACATGGACTGAGGGGGGTCCTCCCAACACAAGATATAATCGCAGTAAAAGTGGTTGGTTTGATTCCCATATTTTTGAAAATTGGTTTGTAACAACTTTTTTGAAAGAAGTACAGGGCGGAGGACCTAGTGCCTTAATTGGCGATAATTTAGCGTCACACATAAACGAACATGTGTTAGAATTATGTGATACTCATGACATTAAGTTTATATGTTTGCCACCAAACACCACGCATATATCTCAGCCACTCGACGTAGCCTTTTTT